AAAAAAGTAAAACTACGAAGCTTAGAGTTGTTTTTGATGCATCTGCAAAAATTACGTCCGGTAAATCCTTTAATGATATACAAATGATTGGTCCGGTAGTTCAAAGCGATTTATTATAAATTTTATTCCGATTTTATGTTCATATGTATGTACTTACAGCAGACATTAAGAAAATGTATAGACAAGTATCGGTAGATAAATCTCAATGTAATTTACACCTGATATTATGGAGCGATGAAGAGACACAATCTCTTAAAACTTTACAAGTTAATACTGTTACGTATGGGGCTGCCTCAGCCCCCTACTTGAACACTCGATGTTTGCAGGAGTTGGCGCACCACAGTTAGGATGGAGTCGTGAGCAATGTTATACAGTATGACTTCTATGTCATATTCACTTAATCACTAGATCGAATTCGTTAAGTCGACTGAAACATATTTTTCAGGGAGTAACGCGAACTTTGAATTCGGCATGTTTTCCTTTAAGAAAATTTCAAACGAATTGTCCTGAAATATTTAACGGCGAGAATATAATATTGGCTTCGCTAGATTTATGTGACGATTCTACTGTGCTCGGGTTAAACTGGTCTCCGAAATTAGATAACTTGCAATTTTCGACTTGTTTACAGTTATCAGCTCTAATAACAAAATGAACTATAATTTCGATTACATCTAAAATATTTGATCCGTTAGGGCTTCTGTGTACCTGCATTATAAAGGCTAAGATTTTACTTCAAAGATTATGGTGTGATAAACTAGAGTGGGATGATGAAGTATCTACTAAAATTGCAAATAAGTGGTCAACTTTTATTAAAAACCCAGAGTTTAAGTTTAAAGGTTCCTCGAAATACCTTGTGCAAATTTCCAGAATATATAGAATTACATTGTTTTGTAGACGCATCTAAAGATGCTTATGGTGCTTGCGTGTATTTAAGATCTATTGACTTAAAAAATAATGTTACTGTTAAACTATTATGTACTAAAACCAGAGTTGCACCTTTAAAACCTATAACAATTCTAAAGCTGGAGTTGTGTGGGACCTTATTAGGATCCAGACTATGTTCTAAAGTCCTAGAGTTCGTGAATATTACTATATCTAAAATATATATATGGACTGATTCTACAGTAGTTCTTGGGTGAGTTAAAATGCAACTAAAGGATCTAAAGACATTTGTACGCAACCGAGTCAACGAAATTAACAGTCTGAATTCTGGATTTATTTGGATGCATGTTCTAACTTCTGAAAACCCTGCGGACTCAAGAGGTGTAAACTCTCATACTCTACGACTTTCTTCTTTGTGGTGGGAAGGCCCGTCCTCCCTTAAGAGAGAAAAATCTGAATGGCCCCAGTTACCTTCTACTACACCATTCAAACTCAACTTGCCCAATCTTAAAACTAAAAGTTATTTGTCTATATTCAAAAGACAAATTGCTTCTAGATTTATTATATTTGAGAATTTTTCTAATTACTTGCGATTAAAAAGAATTTATGCTTATGCTTTACGGTTTATAAATAATTCAATGAAAAACAAAATAAAATATAAAGATTCTTTAAGTTGTGAAGAATTGAATAGATCGACTATTGTTTTAATTAACCTTAGTGAACATGAGTCGCTTAATGATGAATCAGTTATGTTAAAAATTAAAAAGGAGATCAATAAAAAATTGAAATTATTATGTCTAAATCCATTCATTGATGCTGATGGTGTTATGAGAGTAGGAGGACGTCTCAAAAATTCTAGGTTTAGTTTTCCAAAAAAAAATATCCTATAATATTAGATGCTAAACATCACTTATACAAGTTAATAATGAAATACGAAGATTTACGTCTTTTCATGCAGGTCCACAATTACTTTTTCATAGTATTAGTGAAGAGTTCTGGCCTATAGGCGGACGAAATCTTGCACGAAAATTACTAGGCAGTGTGTGATTTGTAATCGTTTGAAGGGCAAAACTTTACAGCCTTTGATGGTTGACTGAGCTGCATTTGAACTAATTTTACTTTTGCATTTCATTCATGTAGAATCGATTTTGCGGGACCGTTTATGATATCAAGTTGAAAGGGCAAAGGTAATCGTATAAATAAATCATACTGGTGCTTATTCGTTTGTCTTAACTATCAAGGCGGTTCACCTTGAACTTGTAAGCGATCACAGTACCCAAGCACTCTTACTGGCTCTACGCAGGCTTACTTCAAGAAGAAGTAAGCCATGTGAAATATTTTGTGACAATGGAAAAATCTAGTAGGCGCAAGCAATGAATTGAGTAGAGTTTTGCGGTCCAGTCGCCACTCTGTGCTTGAATTTTCCGCTAATGAAGTCATCAAATTTAATTTCAAACCTGCATGTGCTCCACATTTTGGAGGTATATGGGAGGCTGGTATCAAATCAGCTAAATTCCATTTAAAACGAATAGATGGCAATTTTTCTCTTACGTTTGAAGAGCTAGCGACGTTATTTACTCAAATAGAGGCAATCCTTAACTCGCGTCCATCATCCCCTCTCTCATCTGAACCTACCGATTTATCTCCTCTAACTCCAGGGCACTTTCTCCTAGGGCGGTCCCTGATATCGGTGCCGTCCCTATCTGTAACATCTTCCAGAACCACAAGGTACGAGTTAATCGAGAAAATACGTGAAGAATTTTGGGAGCGATGGCGCCGGGAGTTTGTTGCAGAGTTCTAACAACGTACGAAATGGCGTACCTAAGAATGTGAAATCGCCATAGGAGACATGGTGATTTCTCGGAATATTTAGAATATTGTCTAAAGAAAGACAATATTCCTCCTTTACAATGGAGATTAGGATGCGTCTATAGCTTGTATCGAGATCCGGATAACATAAGCAGAGTTGTAGACGTGAAAACCTGTAAGGAAATAGTACGAAGAGCCATCAACAAGCTGTGTCCTCTGTTTTATTCGGATTTCTTTGAAAGCTAAGCGCTTTCAACGCCTGGGAGAATGTTAAGGTATAAATCAACAGCGGCGAGCGGGTGCGGGAATTGCAGCGGTCGCGCGGTGCGCGGGACGGACACTCTCGCTGCACCCATTGACTCGCTCGGTTTACCCGACACAAATCAGTCTTAATCAATAAGTTTGTAAATCCATTCTAACATTAAATTCATCTAAGTTATAAGGATATTTTATTCATTGCAATAATTCATGTAACAACATCTTAACATCTTAGTGATTGCAGGAAAGTTTTCTAAATTATTTTTGTTTCTATTATATTAAATATTTTTTGAAACTTGTTACGAGTTCATTGGGCTCGTTGGTTCTCTTTTCAGAGTTTCCGGACATGCACTCCGTGAATAATAATTTATTAGTTAAATAAACACTAGCTCATTAAACAAAGCGGTAAATAACTCATCAAAATAATAGAGCGTCTGCGGGCACATGCGCGGCGGTCGCAAGCAGAATGACGCTGGTGCGTCGGACGAGCGGAGAAGGCGCCACGGGATTTGGGTTTGTCAGCAGCGGCGGAAGCAACAGACGCAACGGGGACATACGCGTGGCCGGTAAGGGCGTCATGGTCTTCGAGTTCGACAACAGAGGACAGCGGCAACGGGCGCGCCGGGGATAGGCGGCACAGCTGGAGAAGGCGCGGCGCGCTGGAGGAGGGCACTACGGGCCTCGAGCTCAGAAGCAGAGGGCGGTAGCCACGGGTCGCTCAGAAGGTCCTGAGTTCCAGCCCCACGGAAGAGCCTGATCTCGTCTTTCTCCTTCGACGACCGTTGTGTAAAAGAGTGGGCGCCGGACCGTGGGCAGCGACATGCCGGTCAAAAAAATACATATACCCCCAATGGCATTGAAACACAAAAATATTAAGTTTTATCTACCTAACTTGCCAATAGAATTTACAGGTCGAAGGGCAGAGAGAAGGGTGTGTCGTTATACCATCGGGGTTACCGGTATGCAGCAGTGGCGGATTTATATTTTTTATGAGTGTAGGCCACTTTATTTCCGCCGCCCCATGTACTATTCTAAAATAATAATTTCCCGAAATGTGCCGCCCCTAGGACGCTGCCGCCCCTAGGCCGCGGACTACACGGCCTATTGACAAATCCAGGACTGGTATGCAGTCTGAGTACATAAATAAAAAGGCAATGGAATAAAAATAAAAGCAATTACAAGCTGACGAAATTAATCTTGATTAAATTATCTGTACAATGTTAAGAAAATTTTCCCATTTTCGTGTACTAACAGGAGTGGAGAGCGATAGAAATAGCGAAATAAAGTCGATCGTAAAGAATTCTCAAATGCTTCGCATTGAATCACGGAATCGTTTAATACAAAACACTAACTGCACGACCCTTAGTCGCATCTTTTACAATTTTAAATGATGACTTAGTTGCCTACATTTTATTATTATACAATAGTACATACTTTCATGATTTTTTCAGGTCAGGTCATTTGACGAATTCCTCCAATAAGTAGAGAACTTAAATTAACCACAATTAGTAATCGATTTGGTTTCAAATTAGATGATAAATAAGTTCGATCACCATTTACTCCGTACGTCGGAGACTACGTTAAAATCTAAGTTCTGGATCCTGTAAATGGATGATGGAGGTAAGACCGAAAATCATTAATCTAAAATAAAGTATGGGGTGCATTAGGGTGATGCAAATCTATGATGCAAATAGTGTGATGCAAACGGAAAATGGTGATAAAATCTATCTCAACAACAACAGTACTCGATACATTAAGGATATATAAAATAAAATGGTTAGGTTTCTATTTTTAATCCAACTGGGCAGTGCAAAGAAATGCATGATTTACGCGGTCAATCAATATAAATTATGTTCTCCAGCAGTTTAATTGTTAACGTAAATTGAGTATTTAACTAAATTCGTACTTTGTATAACATATTGGAACGAAGTTCCTTATAGCATCTTACACTCTAGACGCTTGGCAATGAGAGCTAGGCCCGAAGAGTATTCGACGCGACCTTTCTCTTATAGTCAGAATTTCAGTGGTCTCTTTTGCGCTACCAGTTTAATGGTTCTCGTCCGATCACCGAAATTAAGCAGCGTTGGGCGAGATCAGCACTTGGATGTGTAACTGCCTGGAAATACTACGTGATGTTGGCTTTTGCTTTTGTATTTTTTCTATAATAATTAATAGCTGTTGCATTTTTAGATAATAGTAATGAAAAGCCTATTTTCATAACAATATATATATATATATATATATATCTCAATGGATTGTACTGCGGTTTTCACGGCTAATCATAGATTAAGTTGTGGCAGTACATAGATTTTATTTCATATAAATTGGAATTCAAAGAAAAAAATATGCTAATTTGAATATGTAACCTGAGAAGTTTCAAGCGAAATAAAAATTACTGGCATGTATACGTCACAATATGGACAACAACAACAACGTTCATAAATCAGAAAACACACAATAGATACTTCTGATTACGACATATTTGATTTTTATTATGCAAAGTTCTCGTTCACGCTCTTGACCCCGATCTCGGTTCTGCTTGTGATTCCAATCCCGAGCGATGTTGATGTCTTTCCGTTGAATATTGTTGTTAGCGATCGGCGTTAATTAAAATGAAATTTCTTCCATGTTCACGCGAGCAAAGTTGCGAGTAAAAGCTAGTATTTATACAGTGGGTATTTATTGTACGTAATAGTTTGAAATACCGCAAATTATTTAAATAATGTAATATTTATAACCTACGAAATAAATTCAATTTGAAATCGAATTTAATTTTCCCACGTCATGCATATGTATGTACATTCTATTGTCGTGGGTGAAAAAAAGGGGAAATTTTAATTTTACTTTTAGATTATGTGGAGGCGTATTTTTGTTTTTAAAGTATTGAGTATTGGATCTGAATAAAAAATACTCTTCAAAAAATTTACATACAATTATCTGATGCATGAAACGCCTGATTACATAAGCTCGCAAAAAGTATTATATTGATTAAAAATTATCTTTGTCCTCAGGCGCCGTTTTAAATTTTTACCAAAAAACAATTTAAGCTAATATGATTTGCATAATAATTTAAATCTTCTCACGTTTTCCTTATGAATTATGAGTTCATAAGAGCATACAATAGATTAATCTGTGTTGGCGTATAGATTAGTTACGGAGTTGCTAAAGCGAGGCCAAAAGTAAAATAGGGAGATATATTTAGTAAATGCGATAAATCTGATTACATGTATAGGATCAAACTCATCTAAGAAACGAAATTCGTAGTACTGTACATTTCACATGTGAATGCTATTAAAGGGTTTTGCTGTCTAAACGTAATGTTTCAGAACTACTAAGAAATTCTGTACATAAATAGTTAAAGAAATTGTCATTTAAAAATATTGATGTACTGACTGAATAAATCAATTTACCTTTTAAATTAAAAGGACGCAACAAATATGTGAATCGATTGATTGATTAAGAAATGATTGACACTTTCAGTCTGTAAGTATACACTTCGTTGAGCATTTAAATATTATAATAAAAGAATATTTAATTTAACCATATGATGGAGTCTAAGTAACCACGACAGGCAGATGTTAGGTATTAAGATGAATGTAAAAATAACGTTGGGAACGAAAGATCCGTGCAATACAAAAGCAAGAAAAACACCATTGTCGCCTACGTCCACACGTCCAGACTATAATAGCGTTTATTAATAGCAGATATATAATAGCGTCCTATTTATACGAAAGAAAAATCTTTGATATATTTATTATATCAATCTTGTTTTTAGTTCGGTAAGTTGTTTATAATATTTTCTGGACAAGAATTTCTTGAAGTTAAAATCACTTAAATTAAAGAAGTCGGGATGAATATAAATTTTAATGTTGATTAATATAACATACTTTATTTTAATAAATGCTGTTTCAATATATAATATATATACATATAAGTCTGACGGATTTAAAATATTCATAACATTTTTCAATTTTTCTGTAAGATGATTCGAATTAGATTAAAAAAGTAAAAAGGAATTTAATTTGAACCGAAACCAATTATGAGATTTTTTATAATTCACTACGACGTTTCGTCCAACAACTACTAACAAATTCTCAATAGGAAATACGAATTAATTTACAGCGTTATTAATTTCGAAGAGTTGCAAATTAAAATTTGTCCGCATTACTATCTCTTCTTAAGTTATTTCAAATGAGGAATGCCCAAACCTAGAAAAATACATAATAAAACTCGTGTGCATATGTATTATAAATCACGTGGCTACGTGGCGTTGAACGTATCGTAAAGCTCTAATCGTGTACATTAAAAATTAAAGGTTAACTGCCGCTGTCGATGCCGAAGGCTTTTAATGACAGCACAACGCGCGTGTTATCGGCGTGAGATCTGCCCTTCAAATCGCCATGAAATATAGTCGCTTCGGTATCATATTTGTTTATTCGCTTTAGAGTTTCAGACGAAACACTAAGCAGCCTGTTTCAGATTAATTATTTGTTACCAATACATTTGATTCATCCAATTCCATTATTAATTTCAGTTAAGAAGTAATCGCCTGAAGTGTGAATCCAAAGTTAATCCGTTAATTTCAGCAATCGAATCGTTTTGAACGCTCTTAAATTGTAATGAAGTTGTTTACAATGAGGAGAGTGCCCGACAAACAGCAGTCGAGCTTTTGCGTGAACAAATTAGTACAGTTCTGTAAGCGAACGGATTTGCACGGCTACAAGTACATTGTCATGGACGAGCTCACTTTCGCCGAAAGGTAAGAGAGTAAGGGAGTTTAATTATGCTCCGCGTTCAAATCGAGATCGCGACGTTTCAATCTAATTCACGGTGATTGCAAAAGAGAGGACTTGTTGCTCGCTGTTGATAATAGAACGTCTTTTGTTGGGGTTCCGTGGCCGTAGTGGAATTCCGCTCACGTACTCGTGTGCCGTAAGAGTGTAAGTCCGACTTGCCGCAGGAATCCGGAGACGCGAATGTAGTTCGTGAATCATTGATCTAACCTGTAGGTATACAGGAAATTCCCTAAAATAGATCTCTCTTATTTTGGAAAGGGAGATTTAAGAGGAAAATAATAAGATAGTCATACATAGTAAAAGTTAGATGAACTTTTCGTTGGTTCCAACGATATTTATTTTCTTTGTTGACGTGAAAAAAATACGTTGAATGTATTTATATATAAAGAAAACTTAATATCCATAAGAAAAAATGAAAACTAAATAGGAGCATATAAATTTAGTAATTTGGTATTTTGGTTTTTGGACAGTCTTTTCTTAGCGTCCGTCAAACACTAAAGCGGCAATACACTAGAGGGCGCGGCGCGCGGTGAAATACAGTTACATCAAGTAAACGTGACTATATTCCATTCATTTAGTATCACTGTATACTTCTAAACTAAATTGGTGTAAACATCTCCCGTATCTTAAGAAAACTAGACTTTAAAAGAGATTCTGGAAAAAGAGATTGAAGCGAAAAAAATGTTAGACAAGTATGCGTTAAACTCTTGAAGAGGGCCTCATACAATAAATACCGACCATAGATTTCAATTATTAGTTTTTAAGTAGTGATTAAGTAAGTACTTATTTTCCATACTTTTTTTTACAGTTTTTGGCTCAGTAGTTATGGAGATAAGTGGATATAATCAATTTTCTTGTGTTTTTCTTAAGTAAAACTTATATAAGAATTCCAAAAAAAAAATTAAAAAAAAAACATACTTGAGCCCTTTCATTTGACATTGAACAACACTACGGTTTCTAAATCTTTTTTTATTAATTTCCTAATTTGTCCTTCAAAAGTGACCCCCATATTCAAAATTCAATTATTTGCCTTACACATCCTAGTCTGAGTCACAGAAACTTTTATTCATACCAATTTTTTAATTTAATCGCTTCAACAAAATCGAAGAAAATTGGTCGTGACTGATGGAGACGGACACACGGCTTGTCCTATAAGGTGTCTTTTATTTTCATTCGGACTTAATGGAATAAAAAAAGTAAATACAAAATAGCTATAAAACAGACTTGAATACAGTATAAACGCCCTGTTATTAAAGAATGTAAGTGTCATTAATTATATATAGCCTTTTAAATAATAAGAGTATTTTACTGTGTGAGTAAAAGACAAATTCTTACTACGGGCCCAGTATGAATTTCTATACAGTACAGTCGCGACGCTGACTACGAGTATCCAGTCAACATCGGAGCGAAATACTTAATTACACCTACCGAGCGGCCATTATAAAGGAGTTAAATTATTATATTTTAAAATCATAATAACTCGAAGCTGAAGTGATAATTTTTCACGATATTTTTAATTTGAAAATTCTGAAGATTAAATTGAAGAATATTAAGTTTTGGAGTGATAGGAATAGGGTAGAAAGACTTTTGTCATATCAGAAAAGAGTAATGAGTGGGCAGACGAAAGATTGAGTCTGTTAATGCACAGCCAGACAGGCGTTATTCAGAAAAAGTATCGATTATATCATTTCATGTGTGTAGAGGGATACGCTGATATTATAACTTGGGACCTGCATATACTAAAGTACTTATTGTTAAAATATTTATTGACGTAAAGTGAGTAAGTTGTTATTTACAGATGCTGTTGGGCTGTATGTGTCACAGTGAGTGTAATTTTAGCAGCTTACTTTGTGGCGTGTGCTTACGCTTGGTACGCTAGAAACCCTATAGTTACGGTGAGCAAAGCCAATGTTTGTATGTGTTGGAAACAACTTTCGATATTTCAAAGTTAACAGTTAATAAAGTTTACGTCTAACGCCAATCCGTATACATATGCAATATCTTTGCATGTATATATTTGCATGCATATTTGCCTGTATTTATGTGCGTTTTCAGGATTTTGTAAGTCGGAAAAGAAATTATAATAGCTGATAATACGGTTTTGAAAGTATGATAATATAAGTTGTATCTTGTCTTGTCTACAAAGAATAACTGAGACAAAAAGTGAAAATTGAAGTACTTTTAAAAAAAATGTTGAATCAAATAGAGATAATAGTCCTAATTTAAGAGTTGAACCAAATTACAAAGTTATCAAGATGAGAGCGGTGATCATCTTGCAATAATTAGATTGATGGTCTTGTCCGTTGTCAATAAAAGTTGTTCTGAAATAGAAAGAATAGCG